CCAGGTTGTGCTCTGGGGCACTATACTAAAGTCATTCATTATTCATTTCATTGAATCCTCCCAGCATCCTGTGCCACAGGTACAGTCACAGCACCTTTTCATGGAGGCGACAACAGAGGAAGAAAAAGGTACTCTAGTCAGTGGCTTGATGAAGCCCTTGTCGCAATTTTCTGGACAGAAGAAGGGATATTTTCAAGCCTCTTTGTCTTCCCCTGTGCTGGGAATATACGAACTGCAATCAGATATTTTTAAAAAATTGAATAGTAAAAAAATATGCTATCTAATTTTAAAATGGTTTTCTTTTGGGAGGAGTGAGTAGGTTGGAGTTGCTTGGTTAGTGAGGTAATTCTCCAAAAGGTCTGCAAGGCTAATCTGGTTAATTCCGGATACTTCCTCTTCCAGTCTTTCTGTGGCTTTCTTCTGTTCTCAGGACAGCCCCCATTAACATGTGTCTCCGGAAGGACTGAGTGGGGGGGGGCAGGGTGTTGGGTCCCTGAGCAACTCATTTGCATACCTCTCGTTACAAAGGCGGCCGCATCCTGGTTAAGACAATGCGCTGTCTGATAAACAGCGTCTGCTGGGCCTGCGCCAGTGTGTGGCCGCCTTTGATCCAGGTGCTGTTTATTCTTCCTGGAAGTCCGAGGACAGGACAAACTGTTACAGGACCTAGGGTCACAGCCTGTGCCCCAGTGAACCAGGTTTGGCAGCCGCTGGCCCCCAAGACACCAACTGAAAGAGCCAAATTAATAACGAAAAGCAGAAAAAGCAGACTTATTCCGTGCAGCTACATGGGGAAGGGCAGGGGAATCCAGGACTCCCCCTCCTCAACCTATCTTTTGGAGTCCTGACAGGAGGGTGAGTTTTAAATAGGAAGCAAGAGACTCGTGTAACTAAGCAGTCTGGCCAAGGTGTGGTCTATCTTTGTCTCAGCTTCAAGTCTGTCCAGCAAGGCCCCGGATGAGTTGTAACTCTCCTGGAGACAACTTTCCTTTGACTGTCCATAGGCTCCAGTATTTTCTTTTCCCCAGGAGGAGATCCCTGGGGCGATTCCTCTGGGTCAAGTGGGAGGGACACAGGCAGGCGGGTCACACACACATCCAGCAAAAGGAACCTCTTACCCCTCCCTTCTCTGGCAGAAATTCCTTGGGTCAAAAAGGTTTCTTAGTATCGGATTATGGGGGAAACATTGGAATTCCCCACAGATGCTGCCTAGCTTGGTGGAGAGGTTATAAATAAAAAGGTTTTGTCCTCTCCAGCTATAAATATCTTGGGGTTCGGGGAAATCAGGAAAACAGTGCAAGGGAGACGTACTGATCAAGGTTTGCCAAGCTTTTGTTGATAAACATTTATTTCCACATCTGTTTTCTGCATGTTCTCCTTCCCCCATCCTCTTTCCCAGCCCAGCACACACAGATAAAGGAAATGGAAGTTTAAACAATTAACTGGGACAGAAAACTTGCTGCCTCAGAATCCAGATAAAGTGGACCAGACCCGAGAGATGGCTCACCCGTCAAGGGCACCACTTGCAGAGGACCAGGGCTCTGGTCCCAGCACCAACATGGTGGTTTATGACTGTTTGTAACTCCAGTTCCAGAGGAGCACGCACTGGCTGCACATAGATACAGGGAAACACCATACACATAAAAAACGAACAAACTGAAAAGAATCTGGGTAGTGAAGAAATATTTCTGTCTTTTTCCCTACACACAGTGACTCCGAAACCCCATCCATTTATGTCAGTGAAGGTAAGAAATCTCTCAGTTCAGCTCAGCATTTCCTGTTCTACTCACAAGACATTCAAATATAAATGTGACATAGTTTAAGGCCCGTTTCAACCAAAAATTTGATCAGTAACTGTCACCCCTGAAAGAAGGGGATTGTGTGACACTGGGATTAATTAATCTCATCCAGTCAATAATCCTTACAAACCTGCATTTCCTCCAGGGACAGATGGCGCAGTGACTTCCTTTCCACACATACAGTGTCCCAAGCAACAGTCCCTGGATTCATCTGAGTCCAGTCATGCATGAGCAGGGGCCCTGCTGCCTCGAAGCTTCTGTGGAGAGCGTGAGGACAATTTGAGACAGGCGCCAGCTGGTCCTCTGAAGGAAGTCTCGTGCCTTAGGGCTGCTGAGGAACAGTGGTGGGTTGGAAGTGGAGCACTGTAGGGTGTAGGTGCTAGGCCGGGAGGATGAGAGGCTGTGAGGGAGGTCTGTGATGAAACCACGTGGAGAGTGGCCAGCATTGCAGGTAGTGTCCAGTCCTCTGCCACACCTGCTGGCTGCTGCTGCTGGCTTTGCATCTTTCAGACTGGCCTTGCCGGTGCCAGGCGAGACCTTGCAGGGGCAACTACCCCTGCTTCCAGGAGAGAAAAGCCTCTGCCTTTTAAGTAGCTGCAGACACTCACCTGGGTCATTCTCTTTTTTGTTTCAAGCAAGTCCCTCCAGAGAAACTAACTGTAAGAGCAGTTCAACTCCTGTGACTGGGACTCATTGTTTTTAGGTGACAGAAAGTAAACTTTGTTATTGCCAGACTAAATTTTCCTCTCAGAGGTGGTCCTAGTTGGCATTTTGGGGCCATGTAACCCATGAGCCAATCTGAGAATACTGAAGAAATATTTCCAGTTGGACACGTGATGTGGAAAGGCACCCTGTGTAAACTCCTTGCTTTCCTACTTAGGCCTTGCTTTGGAAAGTCTCTCCAGTGACCCTTTCAGGGGGAGAAACCTTCACATTGCTGACATCATTGAATAAATGAAAAAGAAAACTACCAGAGTCTAGCACTCATTGCTAATCTAGAAAAGCTGATGTCGCTTGACAGGCAGTGGCCACTTTGTCAGAAAAGCAAATCCTGCGTGTGTGCCATGTGTTGACTGACTGGAAGCTGGGGTCTGTAGCAGGACTTGACATACATTATTTTGTCTCATGATACAAATCAAGTGATTTTGCCCATCTACTCAGAAACAGCCGGAAGACGGTCTTAGTCACCTTTCTGTTGCGGTGATGTGATGAAACAGCGTACCAAGGCAGCTTACAGACAGAAGAGATTATTTGGGGCTCACAGTCCCAGATGGCTAGAATTCACCACCATCTTCATGGCAGGGAGCTTGGCAGCAGGCAGGGAGGCATGCACGGCCTTAGAGCTGCTGCTGAGATCCCACGGTGGTTCCACGAGCAAGCTGGAAGTAGAGAGAGTACTCTGGGTGGGAAGGTTTAGAGACCTCAAGCCTGTTCCAGCAACACACCTCCTCTGACAAGTCCACACCTCAGTCCTTCCCCAACAGCCACCAACTGGGAGCCAAAAATTCAAATGAGGAGACTCATTCCAATAGTACAACGACGGTCACCCCCCACTTGGAGGATTTCACTCTGTTCTTCCAGCTTCTGCTCTCTCTAACCCATTATCTTGGTGTGTTCTTCATGAATTTCTGTTTCAAGGACTATGAGAATGAAGAACAGGGCTGTCCTGTCTTCTGATATCTGATGTTATGACACCCTCTCCTCTGGTCCACTGCTTCAAGCCCCACTCTGGTTGTAGCCCAGCTGCTCTTGGGGGAAGCTATGTTCTGGTCCTCTGCTTCCCCGGGGCTCTCTCTCTGGCTATCTCTTGATTATCTGAAGAGAACAGTGTGACTCTGCTTGGAGCCACCATCTCAGAGCAGAGACATGATACAAAGGACAGAACTCAATCAGTGCGGGCTGCCCTTGACAGCATCTCTGTCCATGACTGCATAGGAGGAGAAGGAAGGTTTCCATAGCCATTTGGCCCATTTCCCAAAGGTTTTACTAGCAGGTGTTTGAAGACAGGAAGTGGCTAGGGTGTGGTCCAACCCTGGGCTTGTCTCATCAAAGAAGCTGGGAAGAAATCTGTAGGTCTTTGTAGGTCATTCACAGATTTGAAAGAGGCCTGGCATTCGTGCAGGGTTTGCAGGCCAAGCACATGTTTTTGTAAGGTCGAACACAGCACCTGGTTGGTCGGTTCCGGATGTTTTTTATTTAAGTTCTTTGACATTCAGGGCCTGGGAAAAAGTATATAGTTTTGGTTGGTGCTCCCTGGCCCTCCAGTTGGGTTCTCTTTTTTTTTCTTCTTCTTCCCCTTTCTTGAAGGTTTAGTTTTTCTTTTTTCTTTTCTCTCTTCCTTTTCTTCTTCTTTTTAAACCGCTGGATCTAATTTAATTGTGGTTCTCTTTTTTTTAGTGTACCCAGAGCTTTTGGGGTTATTGGTAAACTTTGAATAACACCACTGGGAATGCACACATACATAATTTATGAACCAATCATGACTGAAGCCCATGAAGCCCTTTGGAGAGGTCTTGCTTGGAAGGGATTCTAATTAACAAGGACAGTTTCTGGTCTCTGTCCTGCATGCTTTGTTAATAATAGTGTTCCTAATCAGGTAGAATCTCTTCCTCTGTGACTTAATCTCTCCCCACTCTGTTTCTCAACAGCCAATTCTACTGCCGTTACCTTTAATAAAAGCTGGGGTTAGCTTATGATAACAAAAGCTGACATGTCAGAGATAAGAGTGGTTGGACTCTTAGAATATTCCAGATGTTCTTATGTTCCTTTATAACAAATTCAGTGAAAATGAATTGCAGAGAAGCCTCGTTAAACGGCACTTGTTTATTCAAAAGAATTCTACAATTTAAAGAACACGCTCTTCTCCTCGTTAGTTGGGGCTCCTTCTTATTTATTTTTGTAATAAGGATACCGGGTAGCTGGCCTGGCTATTCAGAACAATTTATTTTTTCCTGTCATGTGAATTCCGGCTTGGGATGGTTTAATTCTTTTAAGTGGTAAAGAGATGAACGCTCAGATGAAACCCCGGGAATTTACGGCCACAGTGGATAGGAGTGGTGAGGGGGTGTGGGGGTGGGGCGCTAAAATTTCGTATTCATAAAGTATGATGACTTGGCTCTTTATTTGTGACCACATAAAAGGGCCGGTGAGGGTAGGGAGGGAGTGTGTCATGAGGTGCGTGTGTGCAGAGCCTCTTGACACACAAGTGTTAAAGTTTGTAGCTGACAATTTCTGACTGGGGAGTCACTCCGGAAGAACTATATAGATAATTGACTTCCTTAGTTGCTCATATCTTGCTATCAGTTAAGCAGCTGATGTTTCTTGGAGCTATTTTATGCTATGGCCTGGAAACGAAGGCATTCTCATTCAAGACAGCAGGGGCCAACGGCACCAGTGGGACAGCTCCAGGGAGACCCATGGAGGCTCCAAGGAACAAGTCAGCAGCAAAGGGTGAGTCTGCAAAGCTCGTAGAATCTCCAGAACAACTAAAAATAGGCAGGTCTCACGGGAAGATGCTTGTAAAAAGTGGTCTCATGAAATTCCAAGAAAAGATGGTGGAGCAGAGCCTGGAGAGGGGGAGAGAAGCATGCCAGGGATGAGGTGGCAAGGGTGGTATGGAACCGCTGCTGTAGCAGACAAAGGAGTGTATTGCTGCTGAGCATTGCTGGTCCTTGGTCCTTAAGGAGGCACAGCCCAGCTGGCCCAGTCTGCAGCATGGAGCAGCCACTGCTGCAGCTCTGATTGCTGGCCCTGCCTGGGGGAGGAAAGGGCAGGCCATAGTGCGGTCCTTGGGCTGCAAGTGCAATGGTTGTACCCCTAGAGCTGGCAGGGCAGATGGCACCAAGGGCAGACAGGTGTGCAGTGGCCTGGAGTTCTTGTGGATCCTGCCCCCAGATGCTCTGCCTGGCTGCAAGATCACCCTGACTCCGGGCAACAGCGGGATATCCAAGCGGAGTCTCAGCAGGAGTCCAGTATTTATGGTGCTTCAGAAACCTTGAATCAGACAAATGAGTCGCTGCAGTAAGCATTTTCATGTAAAGCTGTTTGGGCAAATGTACCGTGTAGCGCACAGCAGCTTGCAATGCTGCGTCAATCAACAGAGGTGATGGAGAGGTGGGAGAGATGGCGGGTTGCAGCAGCACCCGAGGTGGAGGGGGTGAAACTATAGACCGTGGCAATACATGTGGGAGGCCGCAGAGATGTGGCTGAGCTCTCAGTGCCCATCCACACCATCATCCTGGTGTTTGTCCGAGACGGAGAACGGTTCAGTTTCTGGGTTGGGCCTCCTGTATGGTCCATGCTGCTGCTGGAGGCCATGTTGATGTTTGTGGTCCAAGTTACCTCCAGAGACCATGTGGATGTCCGCGGTGTGTGCTGGTGGCGGCCCATGCTGCTGGTGGAAACCATGTGGGAATTCATGATCTGTTCGGTCACTGGCTGTTATAGGCAAAGAAGCTTCTTTTGCAGTGGTATCGATGATGGCACACTCATAATTGAGAATGAGACACTGAAGGCTTCTGGGTGTCCCTGCCCCTATCCCCCCACACCCTGCAAAAAGGAAAGAAAGAGTCCAGACTGAAGGCTACGGAAGAGAGTCCTTAAAAACTGTGACAAAGATGCAGGTGATGGCTTCTGGCAGGGGTGGGGGTGGGGAGGGACTTCTAAAGGGCTCTAAAGGGCTGGTCACTGAGAGTTTGACCATGCTCCAGTGAGTACATGGGGAACATAAAATTGGACTTGATGTTCTCTCTCTCTCTCTTTCTCTTTGGGGAGTATCAGCACAAAAGTGGGAGGGTAGACCTGGGAGGAATGGGAAGTGTGATGTGTGTATTGTATGAAATTTCCAAATAACCAATGAGAATATTATGTTGAAAACACACAGACACACACACACACACACACACACACACACACACACACACACACGCATTGGGGTGTTGGGGGTGGGTAGTATTAGTTATCAATTTGACAGAACCTAGAATTACCTAAGAACCTGGCTTCTGGACATGCCTGTGGGGAATTGTCTGGATAAGGTTAGCCTTTGGCCATGCATGTGGGGAATTACCTATTTTGTTGTTATTTTTCATTAGTTTGTTTGTTTTCAGTGCATCTTTGAATATTTACTGTAAGTCAGCCTGCACTAGGTCTCTGGTGAGTGAGCTCCAGTGCCTGCCAGGATGGGCATTTCCCCAGGGAAGACTCTCCAGGCACTGGCTATTTGGAAAAGTTAACGATACTTTGAGAGTAGTGCCTTGATGGAAGAAGAGGATTACTGTGAGTGGACTGTAAGATTTATAGCCCCACCCACCTGTCCCCTGTCTGGTCTCTGCTTCCTAATCTGTGGGAACATAACAAGCAAAGCCTCAGGCTGGGATGTCCTAGCCTTGTTCTTCCCAACACTGAGTCTATGCTAAAATTAACCCTTCCTTCTCTGAGTTGCTCCTTGTTGGTACTGGATGCAGTGACTGAGGCAGTAACACAGTGGCATTGACTGTTGTGGAATCACCTGTTGGTACTTCCTTGTCAAGGGGTCTTCTTACACCTCCAGCCCTGTGTGAGAAACCCTGGTCTGAGAAATCTAGCTATAACTGTTTATGGCAAGGCGTTATGAAAACAGGCTTGACCTTTAACCTGTGGTCTCTGTGGCCTTGGGCAAGTCCACTGTTTTATAAGGCTCATTTCCCTGTAATTCAGAGTGTGTTGGGACATAACTCTCCCCCTCTGGCCCACAAGAATAGCTTCTTCCTTCCCCCAGGGCTCAGTTCCTTGAGCTGTAATGAAAGTAATTCATGTTAGGGAATGGTTGTGAGAACTAACTTTGTGTTGATTAGGACTGGATTGGGTAATAATGCAATGAAAAAACCAAACCAAACCAAACCAAAACAAAACAAAACAAAACAAAAAAAACCCAGATCTTCCCATCTTGAAGCTAGAAACAGACACACTATGTCTATTCTTAAGGGCTTTATCTGCCAGACTTTTACCATCTAACAAACAGCTCCCTGGGGCAGCAAGATGGAGGTGGTGTTAGTCCCACTGAATGAGAATACCACTATCACAATTTTTGAGCCAGTTTTGAGGCAAATTTTATTAAATACCGGTTAGGACCATGGCAACTGACCAGGTCCATACCCAGGATTCCCAGAGTATGGTGCCAAATTACATTAGACAGGGGCTTATAAAGGCAAAACCAACAGGCCGTTTCCCACCATCATCCAATCAGGTGCAGGCATACATCCTGACTTCTGCCTACACGTTTTCCACCTATGTAGGATCAAGCATATATCCTGTGCCATTGGGGCAACCATGCTTGTTTATAGGAGCGAAAACATGAGTGTTGTGCCCAAATTCTGAACCCCAAAATCACCAAGAGGCCCATTACGATGCAAAAGCAAAGAGTCTTTTATTGTAGATGTTTAATGAGCTAACCCTGTTAGCTTGGGCCCTTCACCCCCCACCCCCCCAACCCCCCCACCCCCGCCCACCATGGTGAATGGCTGGAGAAAGACCCCAAGCAACCTCGAGGCAGGGATCTTAAAGGGCAGCGTAAGGGGCGTGTCTAGGGGTATGAAACAGTCTCAGGATTGGTGTGCTTCCAGGTTTGGGTGACCCATCCTGTGTTGATTGGTCAACTGGTTGCTGTGGCCCATAGGCCCTCCCAGGGCAGTTGCTATGTTCTGCACATCACTGTTGTGCACTGTCTGTAAAGCACACCCAGAGCTGTAAAGCACAGCCCGCCAGCTAACTTCTGATTGGTTCCTTGCCACGAGGGCATCTGACCTTAGTGACCAGGGCAGGAGCGGCAAGGTCACACAAGCACATGTTAGCCTGTAATGGCGGCTAAAATGGGGGACTGGTCACTACATGATTCCAGGAAATTAACTGTCCTTGGGCAAGTGGGACTTACAGGTTAGAGGCATTTTTGCTTTATAGGTCTCTTAGGTATAGTAAACTAAACTTAAAACGTAAGCTATCACAGTGGATCAGAGCCATCTTACAGCATACTCAGATACCAATGGTGGCCACACCACACCCTATGTCCCCTACTGTGCTCATATGCTGCCTGGAACAATAGTCAGTCCAGGCTGTCCAAGGTTATTCTGTCTTGTGACAAACTGACATTTACAACTAACCATATATACCTGGCCGTTTTCCTCCTGGTGCTGGGAGCAAGCTAGGTCTCCAACCCTGGGACCTGTATTTTGCTCAGGAAAATTATAGGTAGAATGCACCTAATGGATCAAAAAACCAGGATGAGGTCTCTAAAAGGGTCTGGCCACCCCTGCTTCATTTCCCTGGAAATGGACACCATGGACTTGGGGGCATTAGAAGAACCTGCTGTTGTTTATCTAGTATGCATTATTTTGAGACAAATTCTCTCTGTGTAAAAAGAATGGCCTCTCTCAAACCTCCTGGCTCCGCCTCCTGAATATTAGGATTACTGGCATCCACCATTGTGCCGAGCCAGGAAACCACTCTTTAAAAGTTTTGTCTGTTCTTTTGTAGGGCTATAGTGAAAGGCAGGGATTTATTTCTCATCGGTCTTAACCAACAGTGTGTGTGTATTGGGGGGAGACTCAAGCAGCACATTTTGGAACTCGGCCCAGCCTGGCCTCAGGAATAGGCCTGGACGCAACCCACCTGGCTTTCCAGCCCGTGCTGGAAGGGGTTGTTGCTACTGATTCGTTTTCAGCTGAGAGTGAACCACCTAGCGTGGGACCTGTTTTTAGCATCTCACCTGCCTTTGCTTTTTATGCTAGACCCTTACATTGTTTTAATAGTAAAGTTAGCAAACATAGATGGACAGAAAGAAAGAAAAAAAAAGCAAGCACCATAAAAGGAAGAATTACTCAGAAGAAAAGCATCGTGTTTCCCCTCTTGGGTTAATAGCTTTTAAGAATGCCAGACACTCTTTCATGACTGAGCGGATGTCCCTCATAGCATAGATCAATTAGCACGCTGTGTTATACTTTCTGTCACTACTTTGTAAATTTACAGATAGTAAATTTACATCATAAGCTTGGCCTGATGTTTTCAAAGAAATTCCTCCTTATTAAACAAATTTTAAACAATACATAACAACTGTCTTTCTCCGACTTAGAATTACAAACCCCAGATGCAAGCCGGCTTTTTAAGAGTCAGGAAAAGAAATCTTTAAGTAAACACCATGAAGTGGGCCACAAGTAAAGCCTTTCCGTGAGGCAGGAAGGGAGAGAGACATTCCTGAAAGCCAAGACACTCAGAGAGAAATGTGCCAAGGGGACGCTGACGGGATGCCAGCTTTGGAAGAAGCAGTTCTGTTGCTCTCCAAGCATTCCAAGGACTTGAGAAGCCGGTGTCCACATTCCAGGGAGCCACCACCTTCATGCATGTGTCGTTTTGCTCTGTTTGGTTCTCGCAATACTAAGTGCAGAACCCAGAGCCTCACAAATGCTTGACAAGTACTGAAC